GGCCGGGCCGGCCCCGGCAGGCGGCCGAGGGCTACTACCGCGCCCTGCGTGTGGCCCGGCGCCTGGGCCGGCAGCGCAACCAGGCTGTGGTGCTGGCCAACTTTGGGGTCCTGTGTCTGCACGCGGGCGCCGGCGGGCTGGCCCGGCACTACTTCCTGGAGGCCGTCCGGCGCTTCTCGCGGCTGCCCAGCGGGGAGTGTGGCCGGGACTTCACGCAGGTTCTCCTGCGGCTGGGCCACCTCTGCACCCGCCAGGCCCTCGCCCGGCAGGCCAAGTGCTACTACGAGTGGGCCTTCCTGGTCGCCGTGGAGACGGACCACTTGGAGAGTGAGTGACGGGTTCCCCTCTGCACGCGGGGCCGCCCTGGGACTCGGAGCACGGCTGGGGGGGTGATCCCGGGGAAGGTGGCGGTCTTCCCACCCTCGAGAAGTCTGGGCGGTGCATGCCAGCGGGAACTGGCCCGCTCCGAGCGCTGAAAGTCCCGTGTCCTGGGAGGCCCTGGGGGCCGGGCACACGGGTGGCGGGCTGCCCCCGAGAGGCAAGCCCCGACGAGCTGGGAGGAGCCTGGAGCCCCTCGGGAGCCAAGCCTTGAACGCCGGGCCTGGAGCTCGTGTCACCTCCTCGGGGTACCTCCAGCCCTGCACGCCTGACACATCCCACATCGGAGGCTGCTGGGGCAAGCGGTCACCCCAGGCCACGGGGCAGTTTTAGTGTCTGCAAAAGTAGCTTGTGCGGGGAGCGTGCTGGGCTCCACCCACAAGCAAGACTGGATCACAAAAGGGGGCAACGGGTGAGATGCTGGAGCAGCTCGTGGCCCCAACTTGTGGATTAGGAAAGCCTCTTTAATCTGGGACCAGACAGATGAGTAGGAGTTTGCAGTCTGGGCAGAGGCCTAGGGGTGAGTGACAGGGCCCTTGCCGGGGGTGAGATTTGGGAGTTGGGGGTGGAGCGCTGGACGGTGAGAACCTCCGCTGGGGAGCTGAGCAGGTCCCAAGAGTCCCAGGCTGTAGCTTGGCCTTTTCCTGAGGGCACCGGGGAGCCGCTGAGTGCTGCAGAGCACTTACTCCAGCTGTGCGCAGTGAATGGATAGTGGACAGGAGGCGGCAGGGGACAGACGGAACGGTTGAGGGGATGGAGACGAGAGTCCTGGGAGATGGCCGGGACTCGGAGTACCACTGTGCGTCCCTTCTGCCCTGGGGCACTCTGTCCATCTTCCCAGGATGGCCTTTGTCACGGCGTAGCGGGACCACTCAGAGAGGCTTCTGGTCGCCCAGCCCAGAGCGCCGTTTCCAGGCACAGCTGTGGCACACACTGGTGGCCCCAGGAGGGATGGTGAAGGGACCCTGGCGGACGGTCTGCCCGAGGACAGCGGGAGGGTTCCCGTCCAGAGCCTCTTCCCCAGTGGGCAGGGCCTCGACGGAGGGTTGGCCTCTAGCTGCAGGGCCCCCTGGGAACCTCCAGGAAGAACCCAGCGCTCTTGATGCCCCCAGGACCTCGGCAGGTCTTGTCCTCCACAGGCAGGGGCACCTTCAGCCCCCACCCCCACCCCGGGTGCTGGCAGATGCAGACTTGGAACTACAGAGCCGGGGACCCCGGAGCCATGTCCCCCCCCAGCCAATCCTGAGCAGTGAGGAGACGCAGGGCTGGCTGACACCCCCGGGTCCCCAGGCGCTCACCCCGGGTCTGTCTAAGTCTTGGCAGCGTGTGTCTGTCTAGGAGTTGGCCGTTTTGTGCGGGCCGCCGGGCCGGTTGGCTGGTTGGCTGGTTGGCAGCACTTGCCTGGGGCGTCCTCACAATCCCTTTGTGTCCGTGAGGTTGGCCGCATGTTCCCTCTTTCCTTTCTGACTTTAATGATTTGCATCTTCTCTTCTCATCGTCTGGTGAAAGACTCGCAACTTGTGTCCACCTTTTCCAGGAACCAACCACGGCTGGTGTTGATTTTCCCTACTGCTTGTCTGGGTCTATATTTCATTCCCGGTATCCACCCTGGCATTGATTCTTCCCTTCCTTTGACTTGCTTGGGGTCCGGCTAGCTCTGCCATCTCTAGTTCCTCGGGGTGGAGGGTTGGGTTTCTTCTTCCTGTCACTGCGGGCATTTGTGGCTACGCGTTGCCCTCAGGGCACTGCTTTACCTGTGACTCGTCACCTTTGCCGCTGGGTGCTTTCGTTTTTACTCATTCCAAAGTGTTTTCTCGGCTCCCCTGTGACCGCTCCCTTGCCGTGCTGGTTGTTTAGGAGGTGCTGGTGATTTTTCACATCTTTGTGAATCTCCCAAGTTCCGCTTTGTTGTTGATTTCTAGTTTCAGCTGAAGAACATATTCCCTATGATTTCAGTCCTTTCCCATCTCCTGAGACTTGTTTTGGGGCCTGGCATGTGGTCCATCTGGGGACTCTCCTACAGCACTCAAGAAGACCGCGTATCATACATGTCTGCCAGGCCCAGTAAGCTTGCAGTGTGGTCATGTCTCCTATTTTCTTCTTGGCGTCTGGAACGTTTTCGACGGTCCAAAGCTCGCCACCGTTCTGAGCATTCTGGCTTGAGGAGAGGCCAGTAACCTGTGGGCGGAAGCCTGGCCTCGGGCGGCCAGATAGACCTTGCGGTGCCAGAATGCCAGACTTGAATCCTATTCCCTCATACACCGCGTACGGCAGACACGACCCTCGGCTCTGGACTCTGGGCGTCCGCCCGGCGTGGGAGCGCGGTGGCCTTGGAATCAGCAGCCCGTCCCGGCCTGAGGGGCTTTGTGAAGCAGAAACAGGCAGCCTGGTGGGGGGGCCGAAGTCTGGGGTTGCACAGAAGGCGGTGCTGCCTCTCGTGTACTGCCCACGTGCCATGTGTGGGCTCACCGCGGCATGCCCACCGGCCGCGTGCCCTCCCGCAGGCCGCTGAGCTGCCTGGGCTCCGTTTCCCCCTCGGTGGCGACCCCGGCTGCGTGCCACCGGGGTTCGGGGCCCAGCCAGCATCGCCGCTGTGCCGGGGCTGACGTCTCGCTTTGTCCCACGCAGGCCAGCTGCAGGCCGTGCAGCGGCTG